GTGTGGCCTTTTAAAGGGATGAGGCCATCTTTAACCCCTTCCACCCCAAGCTGCATCCAGTACACCTTGATTCAGAATCCAGGCTCTTATTTCCATCTTTTCTCTTGGCAGAACCAGCTTCCTCTCCCAGCCCACCACTGGGATAATCTTACTCTCAAAGCCCTCACCCTTCCCTACTGGCAGGACAACTGCATTTAACCTCCCTTGATGAATTGAGCCCTCCCCAGAAATCACTGGGTGGCAGTGATCTTAAGGATAGTCTCTGAGACAAAGAAATGCTAACTACTTACTAGATGAGGATGGGGGTGAAAGAAGGGCTGTGAAGGACATACTTTCCTTTTTCCCTGCAGCAGCAAAACACTAACAAGACACAAGTACAGTTTTTTTTTCAATATATCACTGCCTTATATTAACCTGGATCCGCCCATATAGCAGGATCTGTTTAATTAAACCACACCACAAAGACTTTCATTCTCTCATTTGCTTTAGGTCTAAATTGCACTTTTGGCGACCAGGAAGCCCACCACTTGGAGGGGGACATTGCAGGGGTATGGATGCCCTAGGTCTTATGGCTGCTACTTCAGTAGGGAACATTGACCAGCTTATGTGCTTTGGGTGACCAGCAAGTCTAATTCTACTGAGCACAAGTTCTACTGTGCAACAAGGTAGAAGGGAGTCACATTACACCCTCTTATATACTAGACCCTGGACTCTAAGGGAGCTGGAAACTTGGAGGGGGATAGACAGGACTCACAGACTTTTCAACTATTGCTCTTGAACATGTGAAAATTGTCCCAGGCCTGGTCCGTTTTTGAATGATATAGTTCACAGGCTATTTCTGGGAAGAAATGAACATTTCTAGACAAAATTTAAGTAATTTTCTGGCCTCTTCTAAGAAACCAGGCACCCACCCACCCACCCACAGCAGATTGTCAGGCAATAGTTTGTTATTTGTGTATGGGGCCATGTAGCTCAAGACAAATTGATCCACCTCCCGAGGGGACTCTAGCAGTTTTCATCATTAGGCATTATGAGAAATACACACACGCACAAATATTTAGAAGCATGGAAGTGGCCAACTCTAGGTGATTTGAACTTAACAATAGCCACTAGAGTTCTTTTAGCAAGGAGACAAAAGCAACCATTTTAGAAGTGTGTCAAAATAAATTTTCAGAAAGTTAAAAATGTTAAACTTGAGTATATAGTCAGCCTGTCTCAGAGATGTATTTAACTTATTAATGAAAGAACTAACAAGATAACAAAGCTCATTCAAAGGAGGATGTAATAACCTGCAACAGTCAGTAAAAAAAAAAAATGCTAGACTAAAATTGAAAAATTAGATACAAATCAGGTTTTTGTTTTGTTGTTGTTGTTAGGTGCCTTCAAGTTGGTTCTGACTCACAGTGACCCTATAACAACAGAATGAAACACTGCCCAAGTCCTGCACCATCCACACAATTGTTGCTATGTTTGAACCCATTGTGGCAGCCACTGTGTCAATACATCTCACGGAGGGTCTTCCTCTTTTTCTACTGACCCTCTACTTTACCAAACTTGATGTCCTTTTCCAGGGACTGATCCCTCCTAATAACATGTTGAAAGTAAGTAAGAGGAAGATTGTGGTTTTACAGGGAATAAAACTGTAGCCTTGGAGGTTATCTTGTCTATGAATAGATAGCTTTTGCATCTCTAAAAGGAAAAAAACAGCCCATTTTTAGCTTATCAGCATTCTACAAGATAACATCTAACAGCAAGGAACCATAAAAGAAAGTTACATCTTTTACTTTAGGTCCAAACCTGTTACTGTTGAGTCAATTACTGACTCACAGTGTCCTACAGGACGAGTAGAAATGCCCCATAGGGTTTCCAAGGAGCAGCTGGTAGATTTGAACTGCTGACCTTTGGTGAGCAGCCAATCTCTTAACCACTGCACCACCAGCGCTCCTACTTTAGGTAAGAGGTAGGTAAACCCTGTGTGCCAAAAGGCAAAATCAAGGAACAACTCTGCCCTTGTAGCATGAAAGCATACCAACCCATTGCCCTCCAGTTGACTCCGACTCCTAGTAACCTTATAGGACAGAGCAGAACTGCCCATAGGGGTTCCAAAGCTGTAAATCTTTATGGAAGCCGATTGCCACATCTTTCTCCCATGGAGCATCTGGTGGGTTGGAACCATCAACCTTTCAGTAGCAGCTGAGGAACTACCCCCTGTCCCACCAGGGCTCCTTTCCTGAAAGCATAGACAATGCCTAATTGAATGAGCTTGGCTATATTCCTGTATAACTTTAAGCCACCAACCAGTTGTTGTCATGTGGACTCTGACACATGGTTACCTCATGTATGTCAGAGTACAACTGTGTTCTATAGGTTTTCATTGACTGATTTTTCAGAAGGTTGCCCGGCCTTTCTTCCAGGCAACTGCTGTGTAGACTGGAACCTCCAACCTTTCTGTTAGCAGCCAAGAGTGTTAACCATTTGCATCACCCAGGGACTCCACCACTTTATATATGAACACCAAAATTTGAATTTCCTATCATTTTCATGTGTGACAAAGTATTATCCTTCTTTTGATTTTTCCCCCAATCGTTTAAGAATGTAAAACAATTTTTAGCTTGTAGTTATAGGAAATCAGGTAGACAGCTGAATTTGGCTGAGGGGGCTGAGCATAGTTTGCCCCTCCCTTCCCAGAATTTGATGCCCCTTGGGCAGGCTTGTTAGACATTGCTTTAGTGTGTCTTTCAAAAGGCACTTATCCCCAGGTTTTGGATACTTTTTTTTCTTAATGGGCTATAGAAAAAAGAAGGACACAATTTCTAGTAGTCAGTTAGTAGTCTCCCTTTTTTGACTGGTATGAGGAATCCTCAAAGAGACAATGAGAGGGAGGAAGCATAGTAGTGTGTCTCAGGGAAAGAAAATAGTCCCTATATCTAATTTTAAGAAGACATGTATTACAAGGAAGACAGAAGAACAATTGATGCATTCAAACTGTGGTGTTGGCAAAGAATATTGACTATACCAGGGACTGTCAGAAGGAACAAATCAATCTTAGAAGAAATACAACCAGAATGCTCCTTAGAAGTGAGGATGGCAAGACATCGGCTCTCTCACTTTGGATACGTCATCAGGAAAGACCAACTGATAGAAAAAGACATCCTGTTTGGTAAAGCAGAGGGTCAGCAAAAGTGAAGGAAACGCTCCATGGGATGGGTTGACACAATAACCAAAACAATAGACTCACACATAGCAACGATCTTGAAGATCGCGCAGGACTTGGCAATGTTTCGTTTTGTTATACGTAAGGTCACTATGAATTCAAGCCAACCCAACTGTAACTAACAGCAACAACTTTATAGAGGGAATTGTAAGTATTTATACTAACTTCCTCAAAAAATATTTACAGCAAAGTTTAGAGGGCAGTTTTTTAAATAATGACCTTTAATAAAAGTGGAGTGTCCTATTATAAAACATAACTTGGTCAAGTCCTTTCTCTGAGGAATGGAAAAAAGGTTTTGGGGTCTTCTAGTAGTCTACTGGACATTCTCAGTGGGAAGTGGCATGTCTCCTCAGAAGGCCATTTAAAAGTAATCAGAGGAAGGGTCTTTTATTGTCACAATGGGAGGTGCTACTAGCATTTACTGCCCAGGTACTAGAGATGCTAAACATCTTATAATGTGTGGGACAGTCCTGCACGATGAATGAAAATTTGTTCTACCCCAAATATCAATATTGCTTTCATTGAGAAACACTCCAGAAATAGTATTTGGATCACCCAGAGGTATCAATGGATAACATATACCCAAGACAGTATTCCCACAATATCACTTCCTTTATGTGACATGAAGGCCTGAGTGTTGGCATCTGTATTTTTGGTTGAGGGAAGAACCTCATGCTTTGAAATGAGATAAGCAGAAGTAAATTTGGACAATCTATTTTAACTT